CTCCTGCGTGCATCGGGCCGGACGAAAGGGGGGGATAGGGAAGGGGGGGGGTACGAAATCTGCGGCATGCAGCTGGTTTTGGCCCCACCGAGGGGCCCACTCCTCGACACATGGCCGCCTCTGGCGCCGGGGGGCGCCGGGAAAATCAGCTACTTGAGCTGATCCTCAAACCCCCCCCTTTGCTGTCCCCCCCTTTCGCCCGATCCGAGCGTCGTCGAAGGAGGTGCGGTCCAACATCTTGATCTACGAGGCCGCGGCGCTCTCCCTGGGCGAGGGGCGGGCGCGCCGCGCGGCGGAGGAGGAGTGGCAGAGGGCCCTGACGGCGGGCCCCGGGGTGATTGTCGTCAAGGGTTAAGGCGGGCCTGTCCCTCTACAGGAGGAAGATCTTTGGGACGATCTCTTGACAACGTTTGATGGTTTGGGATTTTTCAAAATAAATTGTTTACATTTAATCATTTTAACATATATATATATATACATCGTCCGAAATCCGCCTGTAGGAGGATATGCCCGACTTAAGTCAAGAGTGCCTTTGACGTGAACGTTGTTGACCGGGTCACTGCCGCATTCAAGGCTCAGATTCAGGAGGAGAAACCGAACGCGTGGTGCCACGTCGAGCATCCGAACCTCGGCCAGGGCGACCACTTTGGGAAGCCGGGCGAGAACAGCCGCGTGTGGAACGCGCTGGAGAAGCTGGCAGTGAGAGAGCCCGAGGCTTTCGTCGACTACTACTCGAACCATGTTCTCGCCGCGGCGTCCCACTGCTGGCTGGGCCCCGGCTACCAGGTGACGTCACAGGTCAATGCCGTGAACCCGGGCGGGGCAGCGCAGGAGCCTCACCGTGACTACCACCTCGGCTTCATGCCTGGCAGCTCGGCGGCCCGGTATCCGGCCCACGCCCACGATCTCTGCCCAATGCTGACCCTGCAGGGCAGTGTCGCGCACGTGGACATGCCCGTGGAGTCGGGGGCGACCATGTTCCTGCCCTTCTCGCATCTCGGCGGCGAGCGAGGGAGGGGGGGGGTGCGAAGGAGAAGGCCTCCTCGGAGGGCTCGGAGGACTCCCGGCCCTCTGAGAAGTTTTCTAGGCCTTCCCCGAAGGCGCCGACAAATTCTCAGAAGGCGCAAGGGCTTCTGAGAAGTCCCGCCGCCTTCTGAGAAGGCCTCCTCCTTCTCACTTCCCCTCTCGCTCGCCGCCGAACAGCGCTTTCGCCACGGCTACCTGTGCTGGCGCCGCGAGGAGTTCAAGCGCTACTTCGCCGCCCGCCAGGTCCAGCTGCCCCTCGCCAAGGGCGACGCCGTCTTCTTCAACCCGGCGCTGCTGCACGGCGCCGGGGCGAACTCGACCTCCGACGTCTGTCGCATCGGCAACCTGCTGCAGGTGTCCTCGGCATTTGGTCGAGCGATGGAGACTGTAGACCCGAAGAGGAAAAACCGCCGTGGGCATCAACTTTTTGGCGCTCCGCGCGGACTCCTCGGATCCACGCGGGGCCCCCCCCGCGGCGCCTCTGGCCCGCGGACTTCTCGGATCGGCGCTGGGGCGCCCTGGCGGCGCCTCCAACACCGCCCCTGGCGCGCTCCGCGCGCCATGGAGGGTCCAGCGCAGATCCAAGAAATCCGCGCGGAGCGCCAACAGTTTATGTTCGTGGCGTTTTCTGGCGGGCGGGGGACGCTACAAGAGAAACTCTTCCGAAGTCGGGGACGCCCGCCCCCCAGGCGGCGGGAGAGTTTCTAGCACTGCGTGGCACCGTAAAGGGTGCAGACTCTGCAGCCGCCTGGGGGGCAGGCGCCCCCGACAGCGGGAACGTTTAGCTTGTACCGTTCTTCGCCCCCCAACTTTTTCTTCTTCTGTAGACCGGTCCCGCGTGTCGCTCGCAGTCTACCCCGCGCTGATCGCCGCCTCGCGGCGCGAGGCCTGGACGCCCCAGCTCACGGCCAACGTGGTCGCCGCGGCCGCCGAGGGCTACTCGTTCCCGACGAACCTGGATCTTGACCAGCCCAGCTCGAGGGAAGGCACACGGGGGCCATGACCAAGATGTCGCGGGATCTCGTCGATGCCGAGCTTGCAGTGGGGGCCCGTGCCAGGAGACACCCTGCTTGCCTCCAGGGTGCCCAGGGTTTCTTTGGTTTCGGTGGTTCTGCCATGGAGAGCGTGACGATCCCACACCGAAAATCGCTGGACGTCCTGGGGTCTCAGGGTTGGGTTTCTTGTGGAAGGTATCTTGTGGTCGGGCCCCCACTGTAGTAATCATGGTCCATGTCGGCCGTCCCCGCTCCGCGAGGATGGTCGACGAGTCGACGCTGACCAAGATCGACGGTGACCACTTCTCGTTCCACGTTCGGTTCCCGACACGTTCACGACGTTTCCACGCTCAGTCCTGACCAAGAACCCGACGAAGAATCGACACGACGTTTCCACGTTCAGTCCTGGTCATGGTTCCCGTCTTCTTCCCCTCCACTATCGGTGGCCTTGCACCCAAGACGCATGCGGACATATTGACGGAGGCTGTCACGAATGGCTGGTCTAAGGGCGATTTCGCAAAACGGCTGCACGAGTGTGACTCTCGCCACCGCACCTACTGAGGGACATCTCGGAGCGACGTCATTCAGAAAAATATGAAAAACGTGCCAGTGGGCGCGAACGGAGTCATTCCCTTGGCGGCTTCCTTTTGGAATGTCCAAGGGCCATGCCTGCTCCATCGCGATTGTCATGGGGCTCTCAAGCGAGACACGTCCACCTCTCCAAAGGGGCCATTCTGCCTGAGAGATCCCGACAAGCAGGACGCCCACGGGCTCGTGCTATATCCTTCGGTGGCCCCTCCTTGAGATGCTCAACTGACGTGCCTGCTATATAGCTATGTTCATGGGGCTCTGAAAAGAGAGACGTCTACCTCCCCAAAGCGGCCGTTCTGTCTGAGAGGTCCCCGCAATCTTGTCGCGAACGGGCCCGTGTCATATCTCCAGGAGGCTCTCCCTTAGCATGTCTGGGTGGTGTGCCTGCTGCGTCGCGGTGGTCGCTGTGCCCCGCAAATCTACGTGGGTGCCGTCCGTGGGCGGCGGCTCTGTATGGGGGGCTTTGGCGATCTTGGTTCGGATGAGCCCGTGTCGAGCGCCCGGTGCGGCTCCCCTTGGGGATGCCCGAGTCCCCTGCCTGCCGCATCTGCATGGTCACTGGGCTCTGGAGGGGGGCGTGCCCCTGCCCCCCTGGGGCGGCTGCTGCGCACGAGAGGACGCCCTCGTAAACCAGACGCGAACGGGGCCGTGCCGTGTCCCCTGGCGGCTCAGCTCTGGGCTGCCCAGATGGCATGTCTGCTTCACCGCGATTGTCATGGGGCTCTGAGACGAGACACGCACCCCCCTGCAGCCACACTTGTCGTTCTGCTTGAGCGGTCCCGACGATCTCGGCGCGAATGCGTCCGTGTCATACCCCCTTGTCGGTTCCCCCTTCGTATGCCCAAAGGCCATGCGTGCAACACCGCGATGGTCGCTGTGCCGTGAAAAGAGTCACGTCTATCCCCGCAACATAGCACTGCTTATTCTGCCTGAGAGGTCCCAACATTCTTGGCGCAAACGGGTCAGTGTCAGTCTCTCGTGGCAGCTCCTTGTGATATGCCCGAAGGCGATTCATGGTGCTCTTAACGAGACATGCCTGCTATTCTGCGTTGGAGGTCTGGACAGTCTGGGCGCGAACGGGCCCGTCTCGTTCCCTTTCGGCGGCTCCCCCGTGGGATGTCCACATGGGATGCCAGCTGCATTGCGATGGTAACGGGTTCTGAAGCGAGACGCGTCTGCCGTGCCAAGGCGGCTCAATTCGTTTTGGCAGGTCCCCACAATCTGTACGCCGACGGGCTCGCGTCGTACCCCCTGGCGGCTTCCCCCAGAGATGCACGCATGGCGTGCCTGCTCCATCGGGATGATCACGCCGACCTGACGAGACACACGTCTACCCCTCAAGACGGGCATTCTGCCAGATGGGTCCCGCAGTCTGTGCGCGAGCGGTCCCGTGTCATGCCCTGTGGGATGCCCACGTGGCGAGTTCGCTAGATCGCGATGGTCATTGGGCCCTGTGAGGAGACACGTATTTCCTTAAACCAGCAAGTCTGCCCGAGATGCCCCGACACTTTGGACGCGAACGGGCCCGTGTCGTACCCCCCGGCAGAGCTCCCCGTCGGGATGCCACAGTCCTGTGCCTGCCACGTCGCCGTGGTACTGAGCACGAGACCTCGCCGCTCCAACAAGACAGCCATTCTGCTCTAGATGCCACAGTGCCATGTCTTCTACATCGCGATGGCCATGGGGACCTGAACAGAGACACGTCCACCCCCCAAAGCGGCCATTCTACTGGAGCGTTTCCGGCAATCTCTGCGTAACGGTTCCCGCTTTGGATGTGATCTGCCTGCTACATTTGCATGGTCATTTGGGCTCTGAAAGAAGACACGTCTACTACCCCTGAAAGCGGCCACTCTGCCTGAGCGGTCACCGCAAGCTGGGCGCGAACGAGGCCGTATCATATAACTTGGGGGCTCCCCTGTGGGAGGCTCAAATGCCATGCTTGCTATTTTGGATGTGCCGATGAGCATATGGTTGATTGTGAGTATAATCGAGTCTGAGTGAAGTGAGTCTGAGTGAGAGTGTGAGTGTGAGCTTGATTGTGAGTGATCCTGAGTGTGAGTGATCTGAGCCTGATTGTGTCTGAGATATGAGTGTGACTGAGAATGCGTGGTCTGGGTGTGAATGACTCAGGGTGTGGGTGAGTCTGCGTGTGAATGAGCCTCTGAGTGAGTCTGAGTATGACTGAGTCTGAGTATGATTGAGTCTGAGTATTGGTAAGTCTGTGTGTAAGCAAGCCTGGGTGAATCTGAACATGTGTGAGCCTTTGTGCAGGGGAGTTTGAGTATGAGGGGTATGGTTGTGAGTGTGTCTGAGCTTGGGCGGGGGAAGCAAGGAAAAGGTGGGAAGGAGGTGTATGCATCACACTAAAAACAAAAAGCCCAGGGTTAGGATATATACACATATATATAATATCTATATATACATATGTTTATATATATATATTCCCTATCTAGGCTCTGCCTAGAAAGGTTCTTACTCTCTAGCTTAAAGGGGCCGGGCAGTGGAAAGCGCCCCGGGCGGTTCCCCCAGTCCCCGCCCCGCGGTTCCCCCAGTCCCCTGGCGGCTTTAGCTTTAGCTTTAGCTTTAGCTTTAGCTTTAGCTTTAGCTTAGCTTTAGCTTAGCTTTAGCTTAGCTTTAGCTTAGCTTTAGCTTAGCTTTAGCTTAGCTTCAGCTTAGATTTAGCTTAGCTTTAGCTTAGCTTTAGCTTAGCTTTAGCTAGCTTTAGCTTAGCTTTAGTTGAGCGTTGACTTAGCTTTAGCTTAGCTTCAGCTTAGCGTTAGCTTAGCGTTAGCTTAGCTTTAGCTTAGCTTCATCTTAGCTTCAGCTTAGTTTTAGCTTAGTTTTAGCTTTAGCTGTAGCTTTGGCTTAGCTTTAGCTTAGCTTTAGCTTAGCTTTAGCTAGCTAGCTTTAGCTTAGCTTTAGCTTAGCTTTAGCTTAGCTTTAGCTTAGCTTTAGCTTAGCTTTAGCTTAGCTTTAGCTTAGCTTTAGCTTAGCTTTAGCTTAGCTTAGCTTTAGCTTAGCTTTAGCTTAGCTTTAGCTTAGCTTTAGCTTAGCTTTAGCTTAGCTTTAGCTTAGCTTTAGTTTAGCGTTGGCTTAGCTGTAGCTTAGCTTTACTGTTACTACTAATGCTGCTTTCCTAGGGGCTCCAACTCCTAGGTAGGGTCGCACTGGGATAACATTTTTTTTATACATATATATATATATATATCGATATGCGCGGGGAAACTATCCGCTTCTTTCCTCTTGAGACCCTCTTGGGCTCCTGGGGGACCTCTTGGAGCCTCCGTGGGGGGCCTCTTGGGTCGTCTTCAGGCCATCTTGGGTCGCCTTGGGGCAATCTTGGACCCTCTTGGGGCATCTTGAGCCCATCTGGAGGCCACTGAGGCCATCCTGTACGAACTCGGCCGGGACATGGGCCCTCTCGGACGCCTTCTTGGAGCCATCTCTTGGCATGGAAGACCGACGGGGCCTGCTCTTCATGAGCGCCTCCGGGCTGGGCCGAAGGCCACGGGGAACCTCTTGGAAGGGCCAGATCGGGACTCAAGAGACGGGGGTCAATGCAAACGGGGGTCAGCCAGGGCGCCGGATCTTGCAGGATCCTGAAGGGCCAGGGTCGCATTGACCCGGGTTTGGGCGCAGGATCCTGCAGGATCCTGCAGGATCCTGCAAGGCCCGACTGACCCGGTTTTGCCAGCCACGCGCAGAGGGGGGTAAGGGGAGGGGGCAAGGCTTTCTAGAAGCACCCCTGCTTCTTAGAAGGCGCGGTCTATGATGCAAAGCCGCCGCCTTCTAAGGAGCAGCCTCCTTCGAAAACGCCTTGCCGCCCTCCCCCTACCCCCCTCTGCGCGCCGCCAAGTCTGGATTGACCCGGGTCAGAAGATCCCCGACCAGAAAGAGTTGTAGAGCCTGGCGCGCCAACACCCCCGGGCAGGCAGGCCACGGGGCCGCCGGCGGATCGACGACGCCTGCGGTGAGTCACCGCCGCCCCCTGCCTGTTGGAAGCATCTGTGCGGCCGGACGTGGCGGCCAGAGCTCGACCACGCTGTCGGACTTCGTGCCACCCTGTCCTTGTGGGAACCCTGCAGGGAACATTTGGGGTGAAAGGGCAGAGGACGAGGGAGGAACGAGGAGGAGGAGGAGGAGGAGGAGGAGGAGGAGGAGGAGGAGGAGGAGGAGGAGGAGGAGGAGGAGGAGGAGGAGGAGGAGGAGGAGGGAGGAGGACTCGTGGGAGCTTTTGGGCCACTCTCGGTGCCTCCTGGGTGCTGCCTGGGGGCCTCTTGGAGGTCTCGTGGAGGCCTCCTTGGGCCTCTTGGAGGCCTTTGGATGCTCCTTGGGAGGCTCTTTGGCTGTCTGAGGGCGTTCCTGGTCCATCTGACGTCGTCGGAAGCAGTCTTCGGGGGCCTCTCTGGTGACTTGGGGCCCTCTTGGGGCGCTTCAGGGCCGCTTTGGAGGCCGTCTTGGGCGTGCTTGCTGCCTTCCAGGGCCGTCTTGGGGGCCTGTGAGGCTGTCATGCGGCAGGCGATCTTAGGGCGATCCTGGGGAACTCTTGCGCCGTCGAAAGTCGAACATGAGAACACTCCTTCAAATACAGATGAAACATACGTGTTAGCCAGCGTGAACCCCAAACAGAGGTTTCCTTGCAAGCTATGTGGTGCAACCTAAGTTTTGTGTAAACTATGTGGTGTAAACCATGTGGTGCAATCTATGTGGTGCGAGCTACGTGGTGCAAGCTATGTTGTGCAATCTATGTGGTAGCCACGTTGTGCAGTCGTTGTGGTAGAAGCTAACGTACGCATATATATGTATATGTATGTGGTGTGAGCTACGTGGTGTAAGCTATGTGGTTCAAACTGACTATGTGTTGCAATCTAGGTGGTGCTATCTATGT